AAATTATGAATAAAACCACCCTAAACATTTGCATAGGTTTTTGTATGTTCTAGTACATATTTTTTCACTTCTCTCAGGTAAATATTTAGGAGTAGCATACTGGTAACAGAACGTTAACTCTATAAGAACTAAGTGCCAAAACAGTGGGTCAGTGGTTGAGCATCAACCTATGAACAAGGAGGTCATGGTTCAATTCCCAGTCAGGGCACATGCCCGGGTTGCAGGCTAGATCCCCAGTAGGGGGTGTGCAAGGAGGCAGCCGACTGATAATGATTTTCTCTCATCATGGATGTTTCTATCTCTCCGTCCCTTTCCCTTCCTTTATAAAATCAATAAAGACATATGAAAAAAACAATAGAGATTTTGGAGGTAAGCAAGTAAGATGTCAGTGGTAGCATCATGAGAATCACAAGATAAACCACAGGCCAGGGGAAGTTTAACAGAGAGCTAAGAAAGAGACAGCTAAGAAGAACCATCTGAGGTAAGAAAAAATATCTAAGACAGCCCACAGAGACAAGGGAGCCCAAATCTAATTAGCTCAGACTGGAGACATTTAAGTCTAGGGAACTATTGGGAAAAAATAGAGCAATTAGCCTGCGCTTGGTGAAGGTTAACAGCAGAGTGAGACACCAACAAAAGCAGACTAGCTAGAAGCATAACAGGAAGCCTGGCCAGGGTTGCTCAGTGGTTGACCGTTGACCTATGAACCAGAAGGTCATGGTTCGATTCCTGGTCGGGGCACATGCCCAGGTTGCAGGCTCGAGCCCTAGTGCAGGGCGTGCAGGAGGCAGCTGATCCATGATTCTCTCTCATCATTGATGTTTCTATCTCTCCTTCCCCCTTCCTCTCCGAAATCAATAAAAGTATATTGAAAAAAAGAGGCATACCAGGGAGATTAAGAAAAGAGACAATCAAAACGAGCCATGTCATTTCAGGGTGACTGTGTGTATGCCCAAGGTTGTTCCCTCGGAGAAGTGACATTAGAGGCTGAACACCATGGGAAAAACAAGACTTCAAACAGTACAGCCGAGCACAATCGCTACACAAATAAACGAGCAAACCACAAACTCCGGGGTTTGGAAATCAGTATCCAGAGTTGCTGCAATATGTTATCTAAAGTGTCCAGTTTTCAACAAAAAATGGAGATAAGAAAACAAACAGGAAAGTGTGAGCCACAGACAGGAAAGAGAGCAGAGATTAGAAATGTACATTGGGGGGCTTAGCTGTGGGATTTAGGAATGGAATGAAATCAGAAATCAACAACAGAAGGAAAACATATGGGATGAGGTCAAAGCGGTGCACAGAAGGGAATTTATAGCAGGGAATATATAAGGAAATTAAACACCCACATTAAAGCGAAGATGTTAGAGACTGACTTGTGCCCCTCCCTCCACTAAATTCCTATACTGAAGCCTTGAAACCCTAACCACCACTATGATGGTATTTGGACATGGACCTCTGGGAGGTCATTAGGTTTAGATGAGAACGTGAGGTCTGTCTCTCTCTTTCTTCCTCTCCCTGCCTCCCCCCCGCCCCCATTCAAGGACACCGTGACAAGGCAGCAATCTATAACCAGGAAGAGAGTTCTCAGCCAAGGGAAGGAAATAATACAGATCAGGGCAGACAAAATTAAATACAGAACAGAAAAACAATAGAGAAAACTAATTAAAACCAAAAGATTTTTTTTTAAAAAAAAATCAGCAACATTGACAAATCTGCAAAAACTAACCAAAGAGAAAAAAGGAAAGACTCAAATTACTGAAAGAATCACTATCAGCTTCAGAGAAATTAGAGGGATCCTAAGAGAATACTATGAACAAGAGAATGTCAACACATTTGATACCTTAGATGAAATAGATAAATTCCTAGAAAGACACAAACCACCAAAACAGACTCGAGAGGAAATAGAAGATCTGAATCTGACCTACAACAAATTTAATACAGAACAGAGGCTGAACAAGTAATTTTTAAATTTTGCAACAAGAAGAGCCCAAACCCAGATGGCTGCAAAGGTGAATTCTACCAAACACTGCAAGAAGAATACCGAATTTTCACAAACTCCTCCCTAAATAGAAGAGGAGGGAACACTTCTCAATTCACCCTAAGAGGCCAGTAATAGTCTGGTATCAAAACCAGGCAAGGACATCAGAAGAAAACAACAGATCAGTATCTCTTATGAACATAGACTTTAAAAAAATCTCCAATAAAATACCAGCACATGAATCCAGCAATACATAAAAAGGCTTGTAGACCACAATACAGTGTCATTTATTTAAGAAATGCAAGGTTGATTTACTATCCCAAATCAATGACTGCAATATACTGTATTCATAGAATAAAGGACAAAAACCATATGATCATTTCAGTAGAGGCAGAGACGCATTTGACAAAATCCAACACCTTATCATTACAAATCACTCAACAAGCAGGAAATAGAAGGGGACTTGCTAAATCGGATAAAGGGTACCTAGTAGAGAACCACAGTTAATATCATACTTAATTGTGAAAGACTCCCTAAGATCAGGAATAGACAAGGATGTCTACTCTGGCCACTTTTTAAAAAAATAATTGTATTGATTTCAGAGAGGAATGGAGAGGGGAAGATAGAAACATCAATGATGAGAGAGAATCATTGATCGGCTGCCTCCTGCACAACCCCTACTGGGGATCAAGCCCACAACCCAGGCATGTGCCCTGACCAGGAATTGAACTGTGACCTCCTGGTTCATAGGTTGATGCTCAACCACTGAGCCACACCAGCCAGGCAACTCTCACCACTTTTATTCAACATTGTACTGGAGGTTCTAGAGTGGGCAACTGGATAGGAGAAAGAAAATGAAAGGCATCCAGATTATAAAGGAAGAATTAAACCTATCTTGATTTTCAGAATGTATGATCCTATATACACACAATCATAACAATCCACTAAAGGCAATAAAATGAGTTCTACAAAGCTGCATGATAGAAGATCAGCATATAAAAACCATAAGCAGTGAACAATCCAAAAATGGAAGAGAAAAATTCCATTTACAATAGCATAAAAAAATACTTGAAAACAAGGCAAGAAGAATGTTAGAATATACTATTAAAGAGAAATGATTCTGACACTTTGTCAAATGGTAAGGAAGACTTTATTCAAGACTC